GCTGGAGAAAGGGAAAAAGAATCATTGTGCAGACATATTGAGACGGTCCATAGACAGGGAGAAAACAACACGGACTGACCAAATCTTTGCAAACACAGAGGGATGGGTAAAATATAAGTAAGGGACAAAGGGGCAACAGCTTTTTGCCAGACAGAACAACAATAAGAAGTCACTTTTACTGACAGTGAGAGAACAGAGTGCAGAGACAAAACACTGACTTCTCTCACTAGCTGCCCCTGAGCTATAGCTGCAAGGCTAGAGAGGGTCATTTGAATGCTCATTTGCTTACTTTTTTGCTTATTTGAAAAGCACTCTATTTGTGCTCTGAAAGGTATAACATGGTGGATGCACAGTGCCTCAACATCACACTGAGTTTTCCCATCAGATCTGGACAAATGAGGGTCAGCAGAAATGGGACACCAGGGAGGCAGTAGCTTTGTACCCTGGAGTCTATGGCAACTGAAAACAGCACCTCACATGCTGTGCTAACCTGAGGGCAGATGCTCAGCACAAATAAATCTACTTGTATATAGTGTTCCTAGATATGGTCTGTTATAGAAATGGAGAATGAAGGGAATGAATGCTGATATCACTGTTACCCAAGACATGCTTAGATTTGTTTTTGGTTAAATTAGTGAAATGCTCCAATAGCACTGCCATAGTTATGAACAGAGATGGGCCCAATCTCCATTGATCCAAACCTCTTGTATTCTGAGGGAAAATGCAGGTCTGGATCTAGTTTGGATCTATTTTATAGCTAGAACAATGAATTTGTTTCCTTCAAACGCAGGGCAGGGACTACTACATATTGATGGTAGTTTGCCTTGATTTTTATATTTGCCTTGCCTTTATATTTAGGGCTGTCAAACGATTAAAAAGTTTGATCGCAATTAGTTGTGCGATTAATCGCAATTTTAATCGCACAACAAAAAACTCAAAATTATGCAAAATTATGCAGGTACTTTGTATGGTTGAGGGGTGGGTGTGGGGGGAATGTGTGAAGGTGTGGTGGGCTGTGGGGGGGGGTGTGTGCGCGGTTTGGGGCACGGGGAGAGGGGTGCCTGCAGTGGGGTATGGAGTCCAGGGAGGGGGGACCCCACATGCCCTGGAAGGATCTCCAATCTGAGCAGGATCTCCTCGGAGCTGCCCTAGGGCCAGGGTGTGCCCCCTGCCTGAACACAGCCCCAGTGGCAGTGGGCTCACCCCACCCTTGCTCCAGCAGTGATGGCCGTGGGCAGCCTGGGCTGGAGTATAGTTGCTCCAGCCTCAGCCCAAACTTCCCCATGTACTTGCTTAGCAGGTCCCAGGTGGTCCCAAATGGCCTTGGGCCTGAGGATGCCAGGCAGCCCCACCCCACCCCAGTGTCGCCTTCTCCAAACCTCTGGTGCTGCCAGCCCAGCTGCTCGGGGGATGGGGGTTGTGGGTGGGTGGGTATGCCCCCCACCTTCCTGCTGCAGCCACCAAGAGCCCGTATCCTGCCAGGACCCAATTGGAGCTGTTGCAGCAGGGCTGCCTGGCACGCTCAGGCCCCACAGCCTGGGCTTGGGGTAGGTCGGGACCACCTGGGAGCTCTGGCATGAATCGCCTCTGGGCTTGTGGGTCCCGGCCCATCCCCGGTTTGGGCCCCCAGGAAGTGGCAGCAATGGCAGCCCCATGCCTTGCAACCCTGTGGAGGCAGCCACTGCCAGCAGGTGGGGGCAGGATTTCTGTGGAGCCAAGTCCTGCAGCCCCAAGCTTGCACCGCACTGCATGCCCGAACCTAGCTCAACAGAGACGGAGCCCGAGCTGCACCCTGTGCTGCTGCTGCCCCAGCGCCAGACAGAGCTGCTGCTCTCCTTCCCGCACTGCCTGGGCTCCTGCTGGAACCCACATGGAGTTGCTGGACCTGCCGGGTCCCAGTGGGAGCCCGGGTGGTGCAGGAAGGAGAGTGGCAGCTTTGCCCAGCACTGCAGTTGTAGCAGTGCTGGGCACAGCTCGGGCTCCATCGGCACTGGGCTGGGGCCAGGGGCTATGGAAGGTGGCTCTATGGAAATCCCACCCCCCACCTGCCAGCAGCAGTTGCCTCTGCAGGAGTGCAGAGTACGGGGCCACTGTTGCTGCCACTCCCTAAGGGCCCATACCAGGGATGCATGGGCCTGGAGATGGCTCATGCCGGAGCTCCCAGGAGGTCCCAACCTGCCCCGAGCCTGAGCCATGGGGCCCAAGGGTGCTAGGCTGCCCCACCGCAGCTCAGTACCACCTTCCCTGAATCCCCAGCATTGCCAGTCTAGCACCTCTGGGCCCTGGATGGCAACTGGGGGTGGATGTGTGGGTGCACACGTGAGCCCCTCTTTCCCGCTGCAGCCACCTGGAGCCCCCGCCTGGGCTACCCTATGGCTCCTCTGCACTGCCACCACTGCCCTGCAGAGTGGCTTGGAGGCAGCGGTGACAGCAACGGGGCAGGGCAGCCCAGGTGCAGGCTCCAAAACCACGTGCTTAATTAACGTGTTAATTGGTTCTTGTGTTAATTGTGCATATTACCGGTGATTAATTGACAGCCCTTTAATAATATAACTTACACTGAGGTCCACAACAGATTGTTGTGCAGATCTCCCAGGGAAGTGTACATAGTAGGTAGCTATAACTGTGGCTCATGGCTAATTGGTGAGGGAGCATTTAGGAATGAGCTACCCAGAATCAGAGTAGATAGGCTAAACCTAAGTCAACGCAACTTTCACCAACAGAATATTATCCCTTTCAACGCTTTCTCTATCCAATTGAGCTAAAATAATCTACGGCAAGGATTTGCGTCATCTGTCCACTATTTTTTTTTGTATGAATGTAATGCAAATTATGCCAATGAAAACATTGTGCCTGTCCAAACACTCAGATTCTCAATCTGAATCTGACCTTCAGTGCTTGAACCCACCTCTGCTTATGGGTCTCAGTTATACTCCTGCCCATCTCTCTGGAGTGATGCTAAGTGATGAGTGAAAATTAAGGATGGGGGATCAAGAGGGTGCATTTAAAAACAAATACCTAAATGCTGTGGGATTGGCATATATAAACAAAGGCAAGTTAAAATGGATCTAGATATACTAACGTGAAAAGAGCTTGCATGAAGAATGAAGGAGGAAAAGTATCCAGGGTCTCAGTATGGAAAAAGTCTGCATACATAGGTTAAAAAACAAACAGTCAAACCAAAACCATGCAGACTTTAACCCACACAGAATTAAAAACAGCCAATGAACCTCTTAAAATGTCTCTTTTTATTATATGAGGCTAAGAAAATATAATACAATCAAAAGCACTGAATTTTGGGCATAAGTATGTGTGCACATGATGTACACATAAACACCCTAAAAGTATATATTGACTGTCAACATTTTAAAAAGTGGTCACTGCTTTTGGGTTACAAATGTTAGACCCATGGTCTAATTATCAGAGGTGTTGAAGAACTGCAAATCTATTTCCAGTCAAAGAGACCTGCAGGTGATCAACACTTAAAAAGCAGAACCAAAGTGTGTTTTGGCCCCTAAAATGGAAGCACTGAAAACCAGTGGCCATTTTTGATCCTTTGGATTGTTGCATGCATAGTTTATTAATATTGTAAATGGTAAAAATGTGTGATTTACCAATCAGTAAAGTCTGCCAAGTAGCCAGTTTTCTTCATATTATTTACTTCACTTGGGGTATTTTGTGTCCATAATACACATGTCCCTTTGGACCTCTATGCCAGAAATATGTCAAGATGAACTAACTGGCCATTCATACACTAAAGACTCTTCAAGGCCAAGTATTTTTACCTTTTTCCATTTTATGTTCTATTCAACTGCAATGCAGTTCACTAGGGAAGGGCCATGTGGAAAGCAGGTTGATATTATTTGCCCTAAGAAATGTCACAGTGAAGTTCAGATCTTTCAAAAAGCAGTCAGGAAGGAATTAGATGTGGGGTTTGGGCCCATCTCAAATCAAACGTACAGTTTCACATGGTTTAAATGAGAAATCAGATGCTAAAGAGGTTTGGTATGACCTAGAATCATTCCATCCTGTCACAAAAAGCAAAGCTGGGGATGTGCATTGGCAAAATTAGGCTCAGTACGGGTCTACTTGTGTCTCTGCTACAGTTAACAGTAAAGCTCCCATCAATTTTAATGGAAGCAGAGTTACGCCAATGCAGGAAGTTTTTTAAAATCCCACATCGGAGAGCACGGAAACCTAAGAAAAAGAGAAGTTCCTTATGACCCTTCACCCCTGCACACTTCATGCATGTATGAAGGTGGCAGCAAAACTTTCATTAAAGCCAATGGGAGTCAACTGGTGGGAATACTGGCCTACTCTTTGCACACTTGGTCCCACTGATCTATCATTCCTCCCACGCTAGTGGTATCTAAAATGTATCAGATAACACAGTTTTGAGTATAATGTGTTTTGTGGTTTAATTAAACCTGTGTTTAGAGCAAATTATATGTTTGAGCCACTTCTTTTTTAATTTTGACCAAAATGATTTGATTGAAATTCATTTATTTCCACAAGTATATTTATAGAACCCTTATGGTGTCATCTGTATTTAATAACTTGCTACCTCCTACATTACTGCCTGCCTAATTACTTTGATCTAATTAAAAGAAAAAAAAAACATACGACTAGAAAATTATCAGAGTAGATAGTCAAAAAGGCATACAAAGTGAAGTGGGGTTTTTAACAGCAGGGCAAATTACTTATTGGTCCCCTTTGCATGCCAACTGGACTGGGAAGGAAGCAGAATGATAGAGAGAGACATTTATATAGAGAGGTGGAGACATAGCTAGAAAGACAAACTGATGTGTTATAGATTCAATGACTGAAAAAACATTATCAAGAAAAGGAATGTTTACAATCCAGTCTGCTTAGAAAGAAGATAAAGAGCCAGAAAGAACTCAGAAGTACACCAAAAATGTCACAGGAAAATGGCACCCACTTCAGCCATGGCACAAGAAGCTTTCACTGGTGGTTTGGGGTTTTTTTTGGGAATGGTCTACCTTATAAGCAACTCGAGCAGGGCATTTCTTTCCCAGGCCTAGAGGTGGGGACATGTGTCTCAGCATCTCATACATGTCAGTGTAACTGATGCGCCCGCTTGGAATCGAAGGGAGAGGGAGAGGCAAAAGCAGGAGGACACAGAAATCAAACCAGAACCAACATTTTAAAAATAAAATAAATAGAAAGGGAGCAACACAAAGGGGGAAACAAAACCAGGGAAAATGGGGTGGGGGAAAGGGAAAAAGCAGACAAGAAAACATATCTGGTTAATCAGATTTCTCAGGAAAGAGGGGGAAAAAAGAGGGTAAACTGAAGGATTTCTCAGCATTCATTCCTTTGAACCCCCTCATATCTCCTCCTTACTGCAGAGAAATCCCATATCTACAGTTAAAATTTGACACTTTAATCCCTGTGGCAGCAGTACAGAATGATTGATGTCCAAGTTAATGCACATGGAAAGAGGTAGGGAAGGGTGTTTCTTGTTTTTGGTAGGGGAGGTTGCTTTTTTTTTTTTTTCCAAGTCTTCAAGTCAAAGAAACGGTTGTATTCACCATGCCAGGGAGAGCTGGTAGGCAGAGTTATGGGACAGCCAGAGATGTACATTATATTAAATGCTTCTGTTTCCGTTTAGTGGATAAGAAGTTTTGCTTCCAATTTAGGTTAAAGGCTAAAAGAGAAAGAAGAAGAAGAATCCTTTTTTTTTGCTTTTTCATGTGGGCAGACCAGGAGTGCTGTGACTCACAGAAAAAGCTGCAGTTCTGTGATACCCCATCCAACACAGAGATGCTCCCTTAGCAACACAGATTTGAATCTAACAAGGACAACCTCCCGTCTGCATGTGGGTACTAGGAAGAGGATATAGTTTTCACCCTCCCATGGCTATTTCTTCTTTAAACCACATCAATAAATAGTCCCCCATTAATAACATCCACTAGCTAACTTGTTAACTTGGGTGCAGTCAGAGAAACCAGGGAGTACAGGGGTTTGACACCTGCTACCCCACCCCCACAGATCATGAGTTTGGTTATAATAGGTGTTTGTACCACCCTAAGCCTCCACGGGGAACTGCCAACAATTGAACACAAATTCATTGCATTGGCCTGTCTTCCCAGTTGGTTATGCACAGATTGCACTTGGTAAATCTATAACACCGACGAAATAAGAAAAGCAGTGCTATCACATGTCATCTAGACTACAACTTTAGACTACAGAATAGAATGGAGTTACCTTATATATTTCTGACTACTAGACCACACTCCCCAGGAAGGATTAGGATTCAAAGGTTAGCTACTTAAAATGAAGCTTGAACACCTGCTAAATATCTAAAAAGAAATGCTCCATGTCACTAAATATTTTTCCTCAGTATTCCCTGGAAATATTAATAAGCCGCTTCTTTCTCTCTACTCCCTGTGTGTGCACACATGCATACATGGAAAGCTCAGCTCATCTATTGTTCTTCCCCACAACTTCCCACCTAGACCATGAAAGATGGAAGCTTTCAAATTCACTGTCTCATAAGGCTGCCTGTCTCCAGCCAGCTGGGGTGTGGGAGTAGATGCATCAAGGGAAGGGGGGGCAGTCAGTCAATCATTCCTTTTCAGGCAACGGGTTAGTCACGTTCCAGTATCTTTTCTGTATTGTTTGCACTTGCAGTTTGGGTAAAAAAGAAAAAAATATAAAAGAAAAGAAGAAAAAAGCTGGACGGAGTCTCTGAAATTCCAAACCTTGTATGCCACCCTATGAGGGCACTTCTTTCCTAAGCCAAGGGGTGGAGCAATAACACGTAACAAATTGTACATATCCTTATAATGAATCCGGCAACTGGAAAGAAAACATCAGAAGTTATAACAGCAAACGCATGGAGGGATGCCATCTCCCCACAGGCTTACTCTCCTACAGAAACCAGAGGATAGTACAGGTTAAGAGGAGGAACACACTCTAGAAAGAAAGGTTATTTGATGATGCTTAGGCTCCAAGTGACATATTAATTCAGAGCTAGAGAAAGAGAGAGAGAGAGAGAGAGAAACTCCCTATTGTTTTACAACAGTCACAGCATAAAACTACACAATTGTTTCAATTACAGTCCAACTTACTATGCAATATTAATGATTTTCTAATGATTTCTAGAGTATGTCCACACTGGAGTCACTTCTCTGCCTACACATGTAATGTAGACATAGCCAATTGGGTACTCATGGCAGCCTTGCTGCAGAAGCAGGAAAGATTAAAGGCCTTCATATTTGCCCAGCTTCATGGGCAGGTTTTGCAACCAACCCTATGCTCAGTGCTCGTGAAACTAGACTGTGACTGATACATGAGCTAGCGCATTTGAAAAGCTTAAGCATATCTGAACTACACTGTAGTCATAGTAATGACTGTAGTGTAGGTAGACCCAGAAATACAATAAGAGATTTAAAATCAGGCCACAGGTTGAGAGTCTTATGAGAGTAGTTAGGACTGAGATAACTGAGAAATCATTATTCACATCTGAAATCAGGCTGCCTCTGTTATTCTAATGCAAATTATACTATACAGAAAATATAGCTTTCAGCTTAGCAGTAGGATTATAAAACTTCATTTATTAAATTATAATTAATCAAATTATTTAAATGACTAGCAGCACTGAGCCTCAAGTCAACCTCAGAAAAAAAGCAAATTGGGCTCGCATTTGGCTTCTTTATGATATATAAAGAAAGAATTCAGGTTATTTCCAAAGTTGCTGAATATCTGTTTTACATTCAAAATTTGGGCTCATTGCAGTTTCACAATATTGATTTAGAAACAAATACAGTTAAACTATTGTAATCTCAGTTGCATAATGTGGGTTGGCTGAGCTCATTGCTACTGCGCAACAGTGTCCGTGTCACGGTTCATGTTTGCTGATGCCATAGCTCATCACTGTGGCAACGTAGTGTCTTGTGTAGACGCGCCCTGCTTGAACTACCTGGCTGCAAACTGCGGCAGCATGGGCCGTGTGTATCAAGGCATGCAAGGTGTTTCTGGGAACCACAATTTCATTGAGCAGCAGGGAAGTTCACTTCTGCTGGGGAGAGAAATGACCCCATTTTTTGCCGCTGAAATCAGCAATTTTTTTGCCCTCCCAATATGGGGTTCAGTGCAAAAAATGGGGTGAAATTGCACCACAGCAGCAGTGAAACCCACTGCTATTCTACAGAGCTAATTCATAGAATCATAGAAAATGAAGGTTGGCAGGGACCTCAGGAGGTCACATCTAGTCCAACACCCTGCTCAAAGCAGGATTAGCCCCAACTAGATCATCCCAGCCAGGGCTTTGTCTAGCCAGGTCTTAGAAACCTCCAAAGATGTAGATTCCACCACCTCTCTGGGTAACCTGTTCCAGTGCTTTAGTGCTCCACAGAGCCAGTCATCTCTTCATAGGAGGCAATCAGGTTGGTCAGGCATGACTTGCCCTTGGTGTGAATCCATGCTGACTGTTCCTAATCACCTTCTTCTTCAATTCTTAGAAATGGATTCCTTGAGGACCTGCTCAGTGATTTTTCCAGGGACTGAGGTGAGGCTGACTGGTCTGTAGTTTCCTGGATCCTCCTTTTTCCCTTTCTTAAATATGGGCACTATGTTTGCCCTTTTCCAATCACCTGGGACCTCTCCTGCTTGCCATGAGTTTTCAAAGATGATGGCCAGTGGCTCTGCAAACACATTGGCCAACTCCCTCAGCACCCTCGGGTGCATCCTTTCTGGCCCCATGGACTTGTGTACATCCAGCTTTTCTAAATAGTCCCTAACCTGTTCTTTCACCAATGTTGGCTGCTCACTTCCTCCCCAAACTGTGCTGCCTGGTGCCGTAGTCTGGGAGCTGACCTTGCCTGTGAAAACTGAGGTAAAAAAGGCATTGAGCACTTCAACTTTTTCTGCATCCTCTGTCACTAGGTTGCCTCCCCCATAGTAAAGGACCTAGACTTTCCTTGATCCTCATCTTGTTACTGACATACATGTAGAAACCTTTCTTGCTACCCTTCAGGTCCCTTGCTAGCTGCAACTCTGATTGTGCTTTGAAGTTCCTGACTTCATCCCTGCATGCCTGAGCAATACTCTTATACTCCCCTCCCTATTTGTTTGTCCATGTTTCCACTTCTTCTATACTTCCTTATTGTGTTTTAGCTTACTGAAGAGTTCCCTGCTTAGCCAAATTGGTCTTCTGCCATACTTGCTAGTCTTCCCAGATTACAGTTCCCAGAACGCTTTGTGCTCCATAACACACTTTGCCCATGCCACGGCTTGCTGCTTACCTTGTGTGCTGCCTAGGTGCATTATTTTCCTGTTACACTTGTGTGTAACCTCTTTTATGGGCCCAATTTATATAGAAGTATTTATATTGGCTAAGTTTTAAAAATAAATTTACCAATATTTCTAAACCAGTATTGTTAAACCACTAAAAAACATTGTGTGGAGACAAGTCCACAAATCTTGTCAGTCCTAGGAGATTATATGGATGACTTGAGAGCCAACAGATTTATGATAAATACCCCTGCAATGAACCACGATAGAGAATAGAGGATGAGATTTTTTTTAAAAACTATTTAAATCTGTATGTATTTTGAGTGCTCTTTAATTTTGTTTGCTTTTGTAAACATTGTTTTGCTCAAATAATCATGGAAACATATCTCTAGACAGTCAAGAAAGCATTTGGCTAAAAAAAGAAGACAAGACCCAACATGATTAATATTTCTAAGAAAAAAAAAATGAACTCAGGGAGAAAACTTTTTAGAAGATAAAAATACTGCACCTTTCAGCCCTTCTTTACATGTTTTTAAAGAAAACAGGAAGGACAAAAATCCAATATTCAAGGGTGATATTCTTTTAAATGATTAAACTTGGCTGCTAGTTAAGGTGAGATTGACATTTTTCAGTATTGGTCTACATGCAATACATTGCCCCTAGGACCAAGCTGGTAGGTTTTAAAGCTTTCTCTCTCTCTCTCTCTCTCCCCCCCTCTCTCTGATGTCTGATGTTTTTACAGTCCTTGAATCCATAAACATTACCATAGCTACCCACTACTAAGCACAATATTTTTTTTCCAAAATACAATATCGAATATTTCGTCTTTAACTCTTCTCTCAACATTTTGAATAGGTTTTCCCAGGAAGGTTTAACAAAAACTGGACACAATCAAGAAAAATATGTTGACACTGAACACTGATCTATATATATATATATATATATATATATATATATATGTATGTATTTAAAATGTTAATCATATACCAAACACATAGCAAATATCTGCACTTTACACTCACACTGCCTCTTTCATCTGAGGATCTCAAATAGCTTACCAAGGTGGATAAGCATTGTTGTATTCATTTTACAGGGAACAAACTGGAACATGCAGAAGTTGCTAAAAAGTCACAAAGTTAGTCAGTGACAGAAGCAGAAATATAATCCAGGTCACCTGGATCTAACCACTCAATCATATTGCCTTGTTCCATGCCAATTATATTATTCTGATTATTTTTTATTCCACTCGTCATGTAAATACCTGTACTATGGAGAACTGCAACAGCAGGAACTAATGGCTGAAAGCTGTAGCCAGACGCAAAGCATTGGGCTAAATACAGAGGTAAATGGACAAAATGTAATTCTGTGTATTATCATGAGATCAGACCAAATTAACTAATAGTCTGCTTTTGCCCTAAACTAGAAGTGGGTCTCAGGATGAATGCCCATGCTTAAGAAGTGCTCCAGCTATCTCTAACCCAAGCTGGGTCATTCCTGCCCCTATGCCAGAAAACATTGCCAACTCCTGTTATTATATGATAATGATTAAAAAAAAAAAAGACTGAGCAGATCATTCAGTTAGCATCCTCCTTATCCCCACAATAGGTTCAATATCGGAATCTAAAGAGAAGTGTTTTTGTATTTATTCTGTCTTGCATACAGGCAATTTCCCTCACTGAGGTTAATGGAAGCCAAGTCTATTTATTAAAGGGAGAATGGATAGTCCCACATTTTCAGTCTCACTGAATTATTTTGTCCAATGTAAGAAAAAGGATTGGATTGACCAAAGAAAAGAACTACTTATGGGTTGTCAGACATTCAGTAAAGACTTGCCTGTATGAGAAATTCTGCATTCACTCAAATCCAGCTATATAGATGCAAAGTCCCAATATGGATGCAGTTAATCTGGTGTAAAGTACACACAATTTATTTGAATGAAGTCATTTTAGTATTAAGATAAATCAGGCCAAGCATCAGTGTTACTGCTTTGAAGAAAATCAGGTTAGGAGTGACTTGAACCAACTTAACAGCATCCCAGCTAAGGAGTTTAACACCTTGTTTATGGATATTTCTCTTGCATCTTCATCTCTAGTTGGGAAGGAACACGAACAGAGTGAAAAGCTTAAATTGCCTGGAGGCAGCATTTTATAATCAGTTTTGTACACATACAAGAATGACGTTTATTCTTCAGAGAGTGATACTTTACAGGAAATATATTGCATGGTGGTTTATTGGGAGGAAGGCAAGAAAAAAGGGGGGCAAAGGGGTGAGAGCTTGTAAAAAATATTTGGCCCCACGTACAATTTCCCCAAGCTGTAAAAGATGAAGGAAATTATTCTGGCTGTACCTCAGAGCATGTAAACCCTTAAGATTTAAGCAGGTTTAGATAGCTCTTTATCTTTTTATAACTCCCCGCAGAGACTAACTGTCTTGTGCTTTCAAAAGGTGGCAACACAAAGTAATATGCAAAATTCAGAGGCTACACTTGACAGAATGCTTTTCTCCCTTAAATTTGATACAATGTTTTAAAGTAAATCTTATTTCAGAAATGGTAACGAGACAACTTTGCCAAAGCAAACTCTCAGATCATTTTATACTCTACAATTTTCATTTTGACTCTTTGGTCTGCTATGACATATTCTTCTCCTCCTATTACTTCAGAGTTTCCTGCCACATGGGACTTTATAGGTTTGCAGCCAATTATCTGTAGGTTTTCCCACTATTGTCTTTGAATAATAAGAACAAAGGTAAATTTCATTTGGAAACTCACTTCCTAGCTGGGAGGAAAGCACTCTCTCTTGTAGCAAGCGTGTACATCCAGGGCATTTTCTTCGAGATTCTCTGAGAACTGAAAGGCTCCAAGAACTGGGGCTTATTGTTTGTTGTCCCTCTCATCATTGTTTTATGTGTCTCAGCTTTCAGCCATTATCCACCTACCAACATATTCCTGAAAAGATCAAAGCTCTCTCATCTGTAACTTGAGGTCATTAGATGGAGGTTTCTAGGATCACAATACAATTTCCAAATGAAAATGATCTATATAGCTAAACCAGTAGTTCTCAACCTTTTTTGGACTCAAGGCACTCCTCAATGGACTTAAAGCATGTTTCTCAATTTCAAAAATGAATTTATATATTCCAGTGCTTACCTCCTTGCAGAGGGGCTAAGCAAGGGGGGTGAAGGACTGGCCAGTCAGGGGCAAGCATGAGCCTGCACAGATCTGCTTATCTCCTCACACCTGCATGGCACCTAAGGGTGGTGTGGAACCCTGGTTGAGAACCACTGATCTAAACTATATATATTACCTAAACCCTTGCTATTTTAACAAATCTCATATCACTTAACTCTACCTTGTATCTTGGGTAGTCATGTCCACCTGCACAAAGTGGGCATAAAATGCTATCAGAGATGTAAGTGAATGGATGATCCTGGTTTAGTAACATTCTACACTTGGTTTGTGCAGGTGTAAATGATGACTCAAAGTGCTGTTGAGCACATGTCCACACTTTCTAAGGAGAAATAGCACCTGGGAAATGTGAAAAGAAAAGCATCACAAGTTTTTTGTTACCTCAGGACATATACACTCTACACTGTATTTCTTTTAGAATTATTAAGGTACTTTATGGGCGCATATACATGAGACATTTACTGTGGAGTTGCTCCGCCGTAAAGTCTCAGTGTCTACACGTGCAATGCTATTAGGCCGCAGTAAACTAATCAACTCCACCGTAGGTTAGTACTTGTCAACACAAGTACTATCCTACACCGGCGTTGTTCGGTGCACCACAATGCACGTGTAGACACTAACATGGCTGGCTGGGGCACGAGGCTGCTTCAGTCCACACTGAAGCACCCTCGTGCCCCAGCCAGTCCCTCTGCATCACGTTGAGCCAGGCCTGAGCAGCCCTGGGCTGGCAGGCTGATCACCCAAGCCCCATCAGCTGGGGTTGCTCTGAGCCGGCTCAATCGTAGGCACACATGTAAATGCAGTGCCTGGGAGCTATAAACCCTGGAATGAACTAAGCTGATTAGTGTTGCACTAATATCACATGTAGACATGCCCCCAGGCTACTAAACAACAGCTATGTAAATAAGATGCTTTTTGATCACATTTAGGAATCTTAATTCTAAGTAGTATCTAAATTGCTGATGACAGTGGGAGATTCAACATATTTTTTATCTTTTACTGAAAAGTAAAAAAAAATAAAGGGATTCAGTTTTGTTTTCAGAGACAATCAACACCTTTTCCATGATCATTTGCATCTGGCAATTTTAAGGGTCTTTTTTCTTTCTTTCTTTTTCACTCAGGTCAGTTTTAAAAGGAAATTCCCTTGGAATGACATCAGGTTTGTTAATCTCAATTGCACAGTGAATCTGAGTTGTAACATTTACCGCCCCAGTTATTTTGATCTCTGGAATTTTTTCTCATGGAGTTGTATTCTCATTAAAACTGTGTGTGTGTGTGTGTGTGTGTGTGTGTACTTCACATATGCTACATACATACCAGGCAGCTGGGTCATATTCAGCCCAGACACGAACAAACTCATCCAGGTGATGGGGTCCTAGGATGGAAGAGTCTCGTGTCAGGTACTCAAAGTTGTCCATGATTACAGCCACAAACAGGTTCAACATCTGCACAGGAGGAAAAGGGAAAAAGAAAAAAGAAACTTGGCTTTTACCTTACGGATTCAATTTAAGATGCAAACCGCAAACGGTAGAGTAATAAAGCTGTAAGCTGAGAACAGTTTTGCTTAGCAGAAATTGTGGTTCCTACATTCTAGTCATTACCCGTCCTTTTGGTCAGAAAGAACCAGATATTATCGCTGTGCAAAGCTTTGGTCCCTGATTTGATTCAGCAAAGATTAGGCCTGATTTGGTGGCCGAATCCGAATCGAATCAGAGGACCCTTTAATCTCTCCAAATCGATTTGGAGAGATTTGGACAGATTCAGCAATTCGGACATAGACACAACTTTAAATGTTTTTTCTACATACCTCTAGGTAGCAGGCAGTTCATGAACGCTGCGATGCTGGGGCGTATGAAGTGTCCCACACAAGTGCAGGGGGCTCCCCAGTGTACTCGGCAGCAGACCTGGAAGTGGACCAGAAGCACTTCTGGGTCCACCGGGGAGCATGCTGGGGGCCCCCCCCGTGTGTCCCCCCGACTTGGTGACTGGTACCTCCTGGGTCGGGGGGTGGGGGGGCACCTGAGATCTCCCCGCGACTGATTGCCAAGCCAGGGGGGCCCCAGTGCGCTCCCGGCAGACCTGGAAGTACTTCTGGGTTCACTGCCGAGCATGCTGGAGAGCCCCCCATGCTCCTGTGGGACACTCCATGCACCCCAGCACCACAGCGATCATGAGTCGTATTGCTACCTCGCGGTACGTAGAAAAAAACTTTTAAAGCTGTTCCTGTGTCTGAATCGCTGATTCACCAAATCAGCATCGAAACGTCATATTCGGATTTGGCCGAATCGAATCAGGGACAGTGATCTGAATCAACGGATCGAATCACTGTCCCTGATTCGGGCCAAATCCGAATTGAATAGGGCCCGTTTTGCACAGCCCTACTGGATATCGCTTTCTTTGGGGCTTAAACTAGTCATTTCTGGTTCACTGAGAATGGCACAGCAATATGGCTGCCTATAGACCTGCCCGTTTATGTTCTAATTAGATTAATCGAGTCTGCTCCACATTCTAATTAGAATGTGAACGAGTGACTTGCCTCACTGTCCTGTGTATTAAGTGCAGCACCCCCACATTTTTAAATGGCCATGGGGGTGCTTTAACTAAAGCTTGTCAAATGAGCTTTAGTTAAAGCACCTCCACAGCCATTTTAAAACCCAGTGGGGAGGGGAGCTGAATACACATGATGGTGGGGCGTTTTAATTAGAGTGGCTGTCAGAGAACTGCTCTAAAATGGCCCCTCCCCATCCCCAAGCACTTTAGGAGATTCTCACCATTTCTTACTCCAGAGGCTGAAGACAGTGCCCTTTTCTAGTATTCTCATTGCAAAAGCAGAGCATGGTACAAGATGACTGAGAAGCAAGGGATAATATGAGGCAGTCCTTCTATCCTCCCCCACATCCCTTTACCAAGATCTAAATTCCTGCCTCCAACAAACAGCAGTACCCCCTTAATCCACAAGCATCCCCTCAATAAAAACTTATCTCAGCATTTCCCACCTCAGTGCTGTGGCGATGCAGCTACAATGCTTCTCACTGGGGCATTAGTGTGCCCAAAGCAGCACAGCATGTTTGAGGGGCAGTGCTGCTGGGCATAAATTTGTGGCCTGGGCATGGCCCCAGGGTCACTCAATACTCAACTCTTTCCTGGCAGTGTTAAAGTTATTTTAGGATTATCTGTAACCTATATATGAGAGTAGCTTGTCTAATTCCAGCACTCAGGTGTCTACATCAAAAACCTACAAAACTACCAAAGGCACTAATTATGTTTCTTTACGACATGCTCAGCAGAGAGGTCAAGGGCTGAATGCACCTTGGAGAGTGAACCATCTTCTTATTTTGTAGCAACAGCTCCTGTATGTCATGATCGAAGCATGCAGAGGGAAACTGGGACACTGCTGCCCATTCTACTGACTTCAGCGGATGACGGGAGCAGTTTGTCTGACAAGGCTGCTAATCCAGAACCTGTCACCAATGTGAAACTCACTGCATATTTATTATTTTAATCAGACACTTTTCTCCATTACCAATGCAGTTATGCTGCCTGATACAATCCAGGGCACACCTGGTTCAATGTGACTCACTATGTGTGTGTTGAGAAACATCATTTCTTTATTCATCAGGCCAGCAGAAGGTGCACAGTTGCTCCAGTCAGTGACCTCATCACCTCCCAGCTGCTCTCCTGAAAACATTTCCTAGTGCTTCTCAGACCAAAAGAAATCAAGACAAAGCAGCTAAGAAAAAGTGTCTTGCATCTGAGTGTCCACTCTTACCATCTTAAAGATTAGCATGCTCAAATGACCCCTGAGATGAAAGGCAGAGCACACAAGAAACCTTTGCTCACAATGGGAATGCCGTAACTTTTAGGATAGCAACCATTCCTCCTACACAAGAGTCTAGTCCTACTGCTATTCAAGTCAATGGAAACAATCAAAATGACTTCAGTGGCATTCCT